AGGATGCTGCAGGTTTTTCTTCCCAAGATGCAGAACCTTGCATTTTTCGGTGTTAAACACCATCAGGTTCTCGTCCGCCCGTTTCCTGCGCCTCTCAAGGTCAGCCTGGATCACCCTCCTTCCTCAGGTGTGGATGTTTTACCCCAAAGTTTGGTGTTGTCGGCAAACTTGGCCAGTCCGCTTCTGACACCAATGTCTACATCATTAATGAAGATGTTGAATAGTGCTGGCCCAAGGACAGAGCCTTGAGGGACCCCACTGGTCACAGCACACCACAACGATTGACTTCCATCAACCACCACCCTTTGGGTTCGACCATGGAGCCAATTCCCCAGCCAGTGGACCTTGGTGAAGCCAAGGCCACAGTTGGCCAGTTTTGCTAAGAGGTGATCATGAGATACCAGACTAAAGGCTTTTTTAAAGTCAAGATATACAGTATCAATCTCTTCTGCCTTGTCCAGGTGATGGGTCACCTGGTCGTAAAAGGAAATAAGATTTGTCAAGCAAGACCTACCCACGACAAACCTGTGCTGGCTATCCCTCAGGATTTTGCCATCGGCCAGTCTGTGCAGAATGGGCCCTTTGATAATCTTTTCTAGGATCTTCCTTGAGATAGAGGTCAGGCTGATGGGCCTATAGTTTGCCGGATCCACTTTCCTCCCTTTCTTGAAGATAGACACTTATGTCAGCTAGAGGTTTGCCCTGATATCAGAGATTGGATTTGGGCTTTTATATAGTGATTAAAATGGAGCTGTTTTGTTTTCATTCCTTACCTTCCTGTCACATCTTGAGAACATCCATTGAGAAAATCCCCTTCCTAGGAGCACTGCCAGTTCTGCATCCATTATTCCTCCTCTTTTTTTCTCTCATTTTTTCTTCTTTTGTTTCTCTCCCTCTTTTGTGATCTTTGAGTGTCCTGTTTTTTCTCCTGCATTTCCTTCCCTGCAGCAACTCCAAGCTCCTGTCTTCCCTGATGTCGCTCCCTTCCCTTCCTCATTTTATCCATTAAAATGATCGGCAAGGAAACAGTAAAACTGAACATGACATGGCTATATGGTTGAATCTTAAGTGTGACTTAGTGGAGGAGGTTTGGGTCAACAGCGCTCTCATTTGCATTTAGGCATAAAACACTTTTCCCCAGCTAAAATAAAATTGTGTGCTGGGCAATTTCTGCTCCCAGTTTTTTCTTTTTGCAGGTTTTGTGCACACAGGTTTTAAAAATTGGGGTTGGTATCATCAAAGGTAATCTGCTGGTATAATCTGGGAGTTCTAGTTTTTATTTGCAGGCTCAGCTTTTAGTGGAACACTAGTTTGTCCACAGTTTTTTTTTTCTTGCCATGGATAAATGAATAGGAAACTGAAACTCCAGGCATCTGTTTTTGTCATCATTGGAACACAAAAGTTGCCTGCTCTTAATACTGCCCTTGTTTTTGCAAATGGAAAAAACAAGTGATTGGTTTTGAAGCATCAGAATCCACCACTTGGTTATCATCCAGCTTCTGAGGGACTGAATAAGAGCAAATTAATCCAAGATGGTTGTTGTGATTGGGGGCTTTCACATGGTTCTTACAAGTATTAAGCCTTAACATTCCTGACCTCGAAGAGTATTAAAGATAGCAGTTAGTTTTGAAGAATCGTTCCACTCTTGAGTCACAATAGCTCATCAGAAGTGAGGAAATTACCAAGTGCTGTTTATTGATGTTTTGATTTGAGGAGGAGTAGTTGACAGGGTTTATTTAGATGCAGCTTTTCTGTGCTTTCTTAAATAAGTTACTTTAAGGTTCACAAATGCATGCTATTGAAATAGGGTTTTACATTTGAAAAAGGGGAGAGGGGTGCAGGCTGCTATGCATGGCTGCCCCAAATGTGCTCCATAAAACCACTTGCTGGATTAGGATATTAGTTATTGCATACAAAAAAACTTCTCTTTTGCAATAAGCAGTATCAATGCACAAGCCAAATAGCTCTAGATCATTTTAATTTAACCCATGCTTCAGAAATTAACAAAACCATATTCATGCTTTGTTTAGTTTTATACCAGCAAAATCCTGAAGTCAGAAAATGTAAAAGTTAAGGCTTATTCGAAAATATTAATTTGACCTCATTGTTTTTATCCCTTATTTTGGGCGTGGGATGCCTAAGTCATAAACCTTAGCACACTGTTATATTGTGCATCAAAGAGAGAGAGAGAAAATAGAGCAACAAAGTAATTGATCCTGTGATCTTTGCAATTTCATAACTCTGTGATTTAACTGTACACCCTAACACTGTGGTCAGTTTTTGTCATATAATTCCCTATGTTCCTTTTAAAGAAGTGAAATTCAGAGAACCTGGGCTTGTGGAGCTTACAGGCTTTGGCAGCTTGGTTTGTAAAGTCCTTGAAGTAATTTTCTAGATGTTTAGGTGTATGCGCTGCCCAGTAAGCAATTCAGACCAGTCAAAGGCACTAACCGTCAGCATGGTCTCTGTCTCAGGGAAGTTTTTACTTTTTTTGCTTTGGCAATACTAAGTGAAGTTTGAATATGTTACATGAAAAAGTGTTCTGCGTCTCCCTGTAACACAGGAGATTTCTACAGGTGTTTCCAAAATTCATCTCTAGCCTTAAAGCAAGGAAAACATTCAGCTCCAAAGGTGGTTCCTTAATGTGCAAGTATGTGAAAATGAGGTTTGCTTATAAGCTCTGTGCATTCCAAGTATAATGTAACTAATAGAGATGTCATACAAGTTCAAGGAATGTGTGCAATAGAAATGACCTGCTTATCTTGAAATCGAGAAGGTAAAGCAGATCTCAAGCTATATATAAGAGCTAACTTAAATTTTTCAGAAGTGAGTTAGGTATTTCGGGACAGAGTTTTGAAAAGACCTTTAAAAAGCCTGGCACTGAGTTCCTGGAAACTAAGGGACTGCAGCAGGTTTGAAAATTTTCGCTCTAGGAAAAATAATCTTTCCATTCCATATGTCCTTCAACTCTGAACAGTCCAGGGGGAAGGAGGGTCTGTGTGTGCAGTTCATGCAGGCAGTATGCTCAGATTGAGCTATACATGACTGAAAAGATCAGTACTTCAATCTGACATTCCATTTCTGTGAACATGACTGTGGCTCTTTTTTGCATTGTTCACTGGGCTGAAATAAGGGCAGCAGATGATGAAAGCTATTCTGCAACTTCCACTGAAATGCAATATTTATCCTTTAATTGGAGACTGAGTAAACATTGTTGAGTAAAAGAGCAATTTTGGCCTACTGTAACGTTCAGCAATCCTCTTGGGACAGAGCTAACCATCATTGTATGTTCCTCCACCACAGGACTGTGTATGTAGATGTTTATAGGAGTTTGATAACAAGAAACAAAGTCTTTCACCTCTATCATATGTTCAAATCTTATCCAAGTTGATAATAAATGGAAGTCACTGCCCTGTGGAGGTCAGGTGTCTGCATCGCAGAGATTTGTCTCAGTTAGCATTTCTTGGCAGTGCTGCCCAAAAGGTTAAGAACCTACCAAGCCTTATAAAGGAGTCATGTCAACAGAGTTTGAGGCGCACCATTGGATCAGTGTGGAGAAGCTTCTACAACCACTACCTGTGTTATGCTTATTTGTGAATAAATGGGGGGAGCATCAGTCTTTGGAGTTGGCACTCTTCCTGTTGTCATGTCATACAAATAAAACACCTGTGCATCATTTAGTTGTGTGTGGGATTCCACTTGCTTGTACTTCCATTGATTTCACTGAGTAGGCCTGGTTGCTTTTTGTCTCATTACCTCCCTATCCCAGGGGTAATCGTTACATGAGGTAAATTGGCCAGTCTTTCAGGCCAATTTTTAAAGTCTTATTTTTGGGGGACTTTGGTAACTGTCAGTCCCTTCCAGATCATGGGGTATGTGTGAGAGGTCACCTAGACCATCAACATATATGCCTAGGCAGGAGTGGAGGCTGCACAGACCTTTCACCCCCACTTTAGGTCACTGAGACAGAATCCAAAGGCTAGACTGAGTCCAGACATTTGGTGCCTCCATGGCTGTAGTTGTATAAGCATCCAGGAATTGAACTCAGGTCTCCTGTGTAGAAGGCAAGGAGTCTGCCACCAAACCACAGGGGACTCCTGCCTTTTGGCTATGCTTAACTAAGCTGAATTTAAAATCTGGTGTCAGGGTGTGGGTGTGGATATAGTTCTTTGCTCAGTGTTCTGTGATCGTGAAATAGAGTTGCATATAGTAGTGAATGGCATTCTGCATATTAATGCACTGTAATAGCAGGCTTTCTTGTATAGACTTAGATGCAGTTGTAGCATTTTGTAAGGGGATGTGCTTTATTAGCCTTAAGCATAGCTCCTTCCTTCCTGTGCTTCACATCTGATTTAGCACCTTCCCGCTTTTGCACAGTTGTGCCAGTGAGAGAAAGGACAACAGAGTAGTGCTGTGGGGAGCAGGGGAGAAGAGTGAGTACTTTTAAGTTTAGACCAAGGAGAATCCAGTCAGTGTTGCATTGCTTTTGTGTTTGATAAAGGCAGGTGTGTAGGTATCCACAAGTGGATTTTTTTCAGAAGATGAAAAACATGATTGTATCCACAGCTGCAGGTCTGAACCATTTACCACTGGCCTGCATAAGGAGTTTGAATTGTTAGATCAATCATAAAGCTTAAAGCATAAAGAGGTAGAGGTGCCATAGAAAAATGTGTCAATTAATTACACTACATAAATGCCCGCAGAGGAAGAAAGGTCTTTAATCTAATTTACAAATAGGCAAGTGAATTGGTGGCAGACTGGGAATAAAAACCTCAGAAGTCCTGTGTTTCTCTTCAGAAGGGGAAAACCCATAAATAATGAGGCACAGAGGCTCTTCCATGGAAAATCGGGGACACATTGGTGTCTCAGTCTCTGCTACCAAGTTCTAGCCTGCCCATCTCACCTACAGCATTGTTTTCAGCCCAGTTCTCTGCAAACCTTCCCAATCCTTTCTGCCCCACTCAGTGACTTCTCTTTGTTGATTTTCCCTTTTCCTATAGTTTTTCACAGAGTATGGTCCTGATTATGTTCTGGAGATTACCCCAAGCTGCAGGCCAGACCGCAATGAGCCACAGAGAATCCAGGAAGTTCTCAACTCCATCAAAGGTGAGCTCCCCCCATCTCCTAGACCCCCCTGCCCTGGGAGACACCAGCTGTTGACTGGTGGGAATTTCCACAATGATACTTGAAAGAAGCAGAGTTGAACTCTTGTTTGGTTAACAATTCATAGTAGACAATGCCATCCATCTTTTCACTCAGGATTCATACCACAGTTGCTAACAAATCAGCTCTGAAATGGAAGAGGCTTTCTAGGCCAGGCAACCATAGTGTGATCTGTGGCCTGAGGAATTCCTAAACACAGGCCGTAAATGTTATCCCTTTCCCTATAACTGCTGCCTGCAGAGACCACAGGGCCCAAGGCTTGCTTTAAATTGTTTAGGAAGGCTGTATGCCTGCAATCACTAAAGCCAGCACAGAATGAGTTAACTACTGCTCAGATGTCCACTAAAGGCATGTTGGACAGCAGCCAAGATAAATTATTTCACATCACATGCCTAAGGTTAATAGGTTTGGGCTCGGTGGGAAAAACAGAGGAGGTAAATTTCTGAGCTGAGAGTCTTGTATTGAAAATGCCCTGCATACCCCACTCATTCACATGCGTGCGCACACACACACACACACACACACACACTCTCTCTCCCTCTCCCTCTCCATTTCTCTCTCTCCTGAGATGCCCAGGTCCATGGATTCATAACAAATGCTCTTCAGCTGATCTTAACTCAGTGGTTAAGAGGAGGTTGAATCCAGCTGCTTGGATCAGGGGTTGGCAACCTAAGGCTTGTAGAGCTTTTAGATTGGTCCATGGAGCCATGGCTTCAGCAGCATTCGGTGGCAGGGGGCCCATGCTGCAACTGGGTAGTGGGAGCTTTGCCAGAGGTAGGGTTCTGTCCATGCCAAGGTGTAGTCAGGTGGGAAAAAGAAGCAGTGAAGACAGCTGGGTCCTACTGCTGGCCCAACTCAGTCCTGAACTGAATAGTGATTATTGGTCTCTATGGGACTACTCAAGATTTCAGCCACTCATGCAAAGGAGAGAGAGCCTAGTTCTAAGCCCAGTGCAATGAGTCACTTCTGCCCTGTTATGAGATCTAATGAGATTGAATTTGCCAGGTTTGCTATCACTGTCTTGAGGCAGGATGACTTTGAATAGGATAAGCAGGTTTCAACAACATTTGTATATGTTCTCATGGAGCAGGTCATGCAATTAAACACCTCCCAGTGGTGGAGCAGCTAGCATTGGATCTGATAACCCTGTGAGCTCAAAGGAGATGTGTTAATCCAAAAGTCAGTAGCATCCAACCTTAAGAGCTGGAAGAACTTACCCTTGCTCACATCTGCTGGAGTTGAGGAGCAAGGAGCTGCACCAGGGCTGGGCAGCTGGAACCTGCATGTGTGCTGCTGCCCCTCTTTCCCACAACCTTCCTCCCTCAGCTGCAGTGTGGGCACAGCTTCCAGCTGGTGGGAAGCCATGGCACAGCTGGATGCCTGGGAGTTAGGCAGGGAACAGCAGCATCCAAAGCACTTGGACACAGCTTCCAAACCACCCAGCTCCAGGGCAACTCTCCACCAGCTTGAAGCTGCATCAATACTGCAACCAGGAAGCAGCGGGCAGAGAAAAGTGGCAGCAGTGCAGGCCCAACTCCCAGCTGCCTAGCCCTAACTTTAACATGGGTCAACCCCACCCCACTTCTGACGCCGCCACAGGCCCCTCCCAGCCTGCCCTGGATTGTAGCCAGGTTGTTCCATCCGATGGCTTGTAAAGGCTGCTGTGTTTGTCCATTTACACAAACTTCACCCCAGACACCTGAGCAAAGTTTTGGTGCCAATTAAATGTAAATTGGGGTTTTTACATCAAGTCCTAGATTCTGTTGCAGTTAGACAAAGTCAAGTTCAGTGACTTCTCCCAGGGTAGAATGGGGGAAAACATTAACATTTCCTTTAAAAAAAAAAGTGTTGTGACTTTTAACATCAATGTAACTATCTGTGACAAGGTAACTCTGTGTCAGGTTGGAAGCACATCAGCTTTGGAGCTACATGAGACTGGCAAGTCTGTGCTCACTTCATGAGCTGTAAATGAATAGTAGTAAGTACACGAACAGCAGGGATAGCAAATATAAAGCTGATTGAAATGGCTCTGGTTTCAGCAGTCTTGCATAGAGGTGAAAATAGACCTCTGATCAGTGCCTGTTGTAAACTCATGGTATTGGTTTGATTGCTTAAAATACATTTAGGAAGTATGAGCTGGGCTAAACTACATGAATGACTTTTACAGACCTGTCAAAAGCCTTAGGGTTGTGTCTGATCTTGACTTGTGCTCTTGGCATTTCATGAGAGAGAGACTTCTGAAGAGTACAGAATAGTCTTATGTCCTCTTGGGAGAATGCACAAGGCACCAAATTGGTCATAACAGGAAGAGAAATGAGGCTCAGATGCAGAGTGGGTCAGAGGAATTGAGTGCTATACATGATGCAGATATATGAAGTAGATTATTTTAAGCCATATTTTCTACTCAATAATATACTTCCTTTGATGCAATTAGAATTTTTCTTTAAGAGTGGGTTGGTGTTCTGGGAAGCTTTGCAAACTTGTGGCTTATAGCTGCCACCTAGGTACTCATAGTTTCATAGTAGCTAGGGTCAGGGGGGACCTGAATAGATCATCTAGCCTGACCCCCTGCCACAGGCCGGG